TTGCAAATGGTAAGGATTTCATTTTTTGATGGCTGAGTAATATTCCATTGTATCCACTCATCTGTTGAGGGACAGCTAGGCTTTTTCCATAGTTTGGCTATTGTGGACATTGCTACTATAAACATTGGGGTGCAGGTGCCCCTTTGGATCACTGTGTTTGTATCCTTTGGGTAAATAGTAGTGCAGTTGCTGGCTCATAGGGTAGTTCTATTTTAACCATTTTGAGGAACCTTGATATTGTTTTCTAGAGTGGCTGCACCAGCTGTGTGCCAGCAGCATAAGAGGGTTCCCCTTTCTCTACATCCTCCTGAAATTTTTTTTCTAACTTGTTAATTTTAGGCATTCTGACCAGTGTAAGGTGTTACCTTGTTGTGGTTTTGATTTGTATTTTCCTGATGCTGAGTGATGTTGAGCATTTTTTCATGTGTTACTTGGCTGTTTGTATGTCGTCTTTGGAGAAATGTCTGTTCATGTCTTCTGCCCATTTAGAAGACCATTATACTAATAACTGTTGGTATAGCCCAGATTTGAAGAAGCAGGGGCATGAACTTGTGGCGCATATGGAGAGCTTAGATCTCAGTAAATCAGTAGGACTTCATAACTGGGTGTGAGAAATGAGGAAGAAGAAGGCATTTAGGATGATTGAGGTTTCTAATGTGATTTTGGGCTATTGGATCCATTTACCAAGGAAATTACCACATTTAAGAGAAGGAATTGAGGAATAATATGTATTCAGTTTTGGTTAAATTGATTTCAAGTTACATGTGGGACATCTAAATAAAGATGTTTAGTTGACGTAACAGGACAAAAGCTGAGGAGAGAGCGAGCTAGCTCTAGATAGAAGTTTAGGTATTGTCAGCATATAGTTAGCCATTTATGTCCTTTGGAGAAAAGGAGATGTATATTAAAATACCCAGTAAATTTGCTCTCGTTAATTTCTTTCTTTAAGAAACATTTGTTAAGGACGTGTTTGTTCCAGATTTTATGCTAAGCCTGAGTAATATAAAGATCTAAGGTATGACCCTTTCTGTTAAGGAGCAAATTGAGGGAGATGAACACATGAAATAATTTCAGCATAATAAGGTAGATGTTGATAATGAAAACCAGAAATGCCATGGAGACAGAGAAGAAGTGTAATTCTGTTAGCCTGGAAGTGCAGAGGAAGACTTCTTAGAGATGACAGCTGTTTATTCTAGAAGGATGAATATGTGTTAGGAAAAAATGGGTGGGTGAAAACTGTTCTTGGGAAGGAGGAGTATCATTAGTTAAGGCATGAGTAGCTGAGAAAACACAAAGTTTGGGAGAGAGTTACCCAGAAAATTGGCATTTTAAGAGTCTTAAATGTGAGGCAGGAACTGTAGGAGATGAGGTTTGTGGGCAGTATTACAGGTGATGGTGAGCATGGGCAGAAAACTGCTGAAGATTTTTAGTTGGGAGTGACATAAAACATAAAACTGAACCAGTCTTAAAAGGTACCTGCCAGGCAAATTCGTGGTGGGGGTAGAATTCCAGGCAAAGAGTGTAGTTTGAGCAGAAAGCCTGGAGGTGTGAAATAATAGGTCACTTCCAGGGATTTAGAGTGTTCTTTCAATACTGCAGTGTGGAATACAAGGGCATGCAGAGAGATGGAAGTTGTTGATGGGGGTCAGATCTTGGAGCGTTTTGTGCTGAAGAGCTTGAAATTTATCATGTCAAAGGTCATTCGGGCACTAATGTAGTAAGGCTCAAAAGAGAGATGAGGAATCAGTAGGTCCTGTGAGAGATAAGAACCTGACCTGAAGATGTAACAGAGGAATGGAGAAATCAGATTCAAGGAATTACAGCTGTTCTCATTCTTGGCTGTACACCAGGAGCACCTGTGAAGTGTCTTAAAAAATGCAATCAGCTGCATCACAATACTGGAGATCCTGTTTCACTAAGTCTGGGCATGGGCTTGAGCATCTTATTTTGCTTTTTAATTTTGTGTTTTACATTAGTATAAGTAACACTGGGTTTCTTTTGTGTGTTTGTGTACAGTTGCATGAATTTTAACACGTGAAGATTTATGTAAACTCTACCCAAGATAAACTCTACCTAAGATACCAAATAGTTCTAGCACCCTCCCAAAATTCTCTTGCTACTTCCTTGCAGTCACAAACTTCTACCCATTTCTAATCCCTGACAATCACTGCTCTGTTCTGTGTCACTACAATTTTGTCTTTTTCAGAATGTCACATGTATCAAATCGTATAGTATATAAGCTTTGAGTTTGGCTTTTTTCATTCAGCAAGTTGCTGCATGTATTAATAGTCTGTTCCTTTTTATTGCTGAGTGATAGTACATTGTATGCATATACTACAGTTTATCTTTCACCCATCGAAAAAGGATATTTGAGTTGTTTCCAGTTTTTGTTAGTATGTCTAGAGCTGCTATAAAACATTCATGTATAGATTTTTATTTGAACATAAGTTTTCATTTCTCTAGGGTATAGGTACCCAGGAGTGGGGCTGCTGGGTCATGTGGTAAGTATATGTTTAACTTTATAAAGAAGCTTCCGAAGTGTTTTCCAGAGTGGCTATACCATTCCACATTTTCATCATCACTGTTGGAGAGAGTTCCAGTTGCTCCATATCTTCACTAGCTCTTGTTGGTATCTATACTTTAACTATTTTTAAACTATTTTAATAGGTGTGTCATAGTATATCATTATGGTTCTCATTTCATTTTCTTAATGGTTCCTGATACTGAACATCTTTTCATGTATTGGCCATGTTACATCCTTTTGGTGAAGTGTCTTAACTCTTGCTCATTTTTTAATTTGTTTTTTTTTTTTTCTTACTGTTGAGTTTAAAATATATATATATATATAAATATATATTTATTTAAAAATACATATTTGTGCACATACACAAGTCCATTGTCAGATGTGTGACTTGCAAATAACTTCTCTAGCCTACCTTTTCATTTTCTAAATGACAAGATTTCATTCTTTTTTATGGATCAGTAATATTCCATTGTATTGATGTACATCATCTTATCCATTCATCTGTCTATGGACATTTGGGTTGCTTCCATAATTTGGCTCTTGTAAATGATGTTGCAATAAACATAGGGGTGCATATGTCTTTTCCAGTTAGTGTTTTTGTATTCTTTGGGTAAATACCAATTAGTGGAGTTACTGAGTAATGGATCATATAATTCTATTTTTAATTTTTGAGAAACTTCCGTATTATACTCTGCAGTGGCTGCACCAGTTGCTATTCCTACCAACAGTGCACAAGGGTTCCTTTTTCTCCACATTCTTGTCAACACTTGTTGTTTCTTGTGTTTTTGATTGTAGCCATTTTGACAGGTATAAGGGGATATCTCATTGTGGTTTTGATTTGCATTTCCCTAATGATCTGTGATGTTGAGCATGTTTCTATGTATCTGTTGACCATCTGTTTTCTTTGGTAAAATGTCTGTTCGTGTCTCCTGCCCATTTTAATGGATCATTTGGTTTTTTGGTGTGTTGAGCTGTATAATTTCCTTATATTTTTTGGATTCTAAGCCTTTATTGGATATGTCATTTGCAAATATCTTCTCCCATTCAGTAGTTTGTCTTTATTTTGTTGTTTCCTCTGCTGTGGAGAAAATTCTTATTTGATGTATCTCAATAGTTTATTTTTACTTTTGTTTTTCTTGCCTTAGGAGACATCTAGAAAAATATTGCTATAACCATCATCAGCAAAATTACTGCCTGTGTTTTTTTCTAGGATTTTTATGGTTTCAGGTCTCACAGGTCTTTACTCCATTTTGAGTTTGTTTTTTTGTATGGGGAAAGAAGGTGGTCTAGTTTCATTCTTTTGCATGTAGCTATCCAGTTTTCCTAACTGTTTTTGAAGAGACTGTCTTTTTGCCATTGGCTATTCTTGCTTCCTTTGTCGAACATTAATTGGTCATGTAATCATGGGTTTATTTCTGAGTTCTGTTCTGTTCCTTGATCTGTGTGTCTGTGTGGCAGTACAATACTCTTTTGATGACTACAGCTTTATATCTTAAAATCTGGGATTGTGATACTTCCAGTTGTATTCTTTTTCAAGATTGCTTTGGGCTACTTGAAGTCTTTCATGGTTCCATAACTATTTCAAGATTATTTGTTCTAGTTGTATGAAAAATGCTATTGGTATTTTGATGGGGATGGCATTTAATCTATAGATAGCTTTGCATAGTATGGACATTTTAACAGTGCGTGTTCTTCAAATCCATTAGCATGGAATATCTTTCCATTTGTGTCCTCTTCAGTTTTTTTTTGTTTTTTTTGTTTTTTTTGTTTTTTTTTCAGTGTTTTATAGCTTTCAGAATACAGGTCTTTCCTTCTTCGGTTAAGCTTATTCCTAGATTTATTATTTTTGGTGCAATTGTAAATGGGATTGTTTTAATTTTACTTTCTGCTATTTCATTATTAGTGTACAGAAATGCAGTGTATTTCTGTATGTTGATTTTTGTACCCTGCAAACTTACTGAATTCATTTATTAGTCGTAGTAGTTTTTTGATGGTGTCTTTTGGGTTTTCTATGTATGGTACCATGTCATCTGCAAATAGTGAAAGTTTTACTTCTTCCTTACCAATTTGCATGCCTTTTATTTCTTTCTCTTGTCTGATTCCTGTGGCTGGGACTGTCAGTATAATGTTGAATAAAAGTTTGTCTTGTTCTTGACCTTAGGGGAAAAGCAATTTTCACCAGTGAGTGTGATGTTAGCTGTGGGTTTTCATATATAGTCTTAATTAATCATTGCTATTTTGTTATTTGCTTTATGGTTGTTTTTGTAGTTCTTTGTTCCTTCTCTTGCTCTCTCACAGTTTGTGGGCTTTCTTTAGTGATATGCTTGGATTACTCTTTTTTTGGTTTTGTTTTTGCATACTATCTGTTACTGGTTTTTGATTTGTGGTTGCATTGTTTTGTATATAATATCTTATGCATATAGCAGTCTACTTTAACTTTATGGTTACTTAAGTTTGAACCCATTCTAACAGCACTAAATTTTTACTTTTATCCTTCCCCACATTTTAGGTATATGGTGTTATACTTTATATCCTTTTCTTTTGTGAAGCCCTTGACAGGTTTTTGTAGATAAACTTAATTTTGCTGCTTTTGTGTTTTCTACTTTTTTTTTTTTTTAAACTCCTACTAATGGTCTATCCTTTCCACTTGGAGTCCCCTTTTAACATTTCTTGGAGTGCTGGTTTAGTGGTTATGAATTCCTTGAGCTTTTGTTTTTCTGGGACACTGTATCTTCTATTCTGAATAATAGCCTTGCTGGATAGAGTATTTTTGGCTGCAGGTTTTTTGTTTGTTTGTATGTTTGTTTTCCTCCCCTTTCAGCACTTGGAATATATCATGACATTCCCTTCTGGCCTCCCAAGTTTCTGCTGAAAAATCAGCTAAGAGCCTTTTGGGGTTCTCTTTGTATGTAACTGTCTTCTTTTCTCATGCTGCTTTAAAATTTTCTCTTTATCACTATTTTTTACCATTTTAGTTACTGTGTTTCTTTATATGGACCTCCTTGGGTTGTTCAGGGTTCTCTGTGCCTCCTGGATCTGGATTTCTGTTTCCTTACCCAGATTTTCAGTTGTTGTTTCTTCAAATAAATTTTCTGCCCCTTTTCTCTCTCTTTTCCTTCTGAGATCCCTATAATGTGAATGTCATTATGTTTGATAGTGTCAGAGTTCCCTAAGTTTGTTTTCATTTTTTATGATTATTTCTCCCTTTCCTGTTCAGCTTGACTGCTTTCCATTACTTTGTACTCCACGTCACCAGTCCATTCTTCTACTTCCTTTAATCTATTCTTCCATCTAGTGTCTTTTTCATTTCAGTTATTGAGTTCTTCATCTCTCACAGGTACCTTTCGAAGTTTTCTCTTTTTTAAGGGTCTCACTGAGATTGTCCACTCTTTTCTCATGTCCAGTGAATATCTTTATGACATTACTTTAAATTCTCTGTCAGGCATATTATTTACCTCCATTTCATTTGGCTCTCTTGCTATGATTTGGTCCTTTTTCATTTGGGACATATTCCTCTGTCTCTTCGTTTTGTCCAACTCTGTTTCAGTGTGTTAGGCAAGTCAGCTATGTCTCCTGCTCTTTGAAGTAGTGGTCTTATGAAGAAGAGGTCCTGTAGTGTCCTTGTAAGTGCAGTGTCCCTGCTTAGCAGAACCTGGCACTTCTGGGTATCTCCTGTATGTGTTGCTGCATGGGCCATGCTGTTGTGGCTGAGCCCTTTTTCTCTTTAGTCCATTTATCTGTAATGGCTCTCTTTGCCTGTTGTGGGCAGAATTTGTTCCCTGTATTGTTAGTGGGCCAGTCTGTGGCTACCTTGGGTATAAATTACATCAAGCCATGCATTTGCCAAAGATGGAGTATCACCAAACTGCAGGAAAATGTGGATGTGAGGCACTCCGTGCCAGCAGGGTAAGGGTGAGCTTGCTATTGGAGGGGATCTGGACCTCAGTCCTCTTGTGTTCGCAGGATAACTCTGGGGCCCAGTGCACTGTTAGCAAGCTAGATCGTGAATGATGGCCCCACACTAGTTCCTTCAGGTGTCTGTGCTCCATGTATGTATACTGGCAGGGTAGGGAAATGGTGCCTGCCAGTTCCATTATTCCTAGAGAAGTCTCCAAAGATCCTTGCCCTCTTCCATCACTTGCTCTGAGATTTGTAAACAAATTTCCCTTCCGTGTCCCCCAGGCATTTTTTCACACTGCTGCTTCTATGCAGTGTCTCGGAGGGGGCTCTTTGTTGTGTTGTCTTTTGAAGGGAGGGAACTCTGCCCTCCCTGCTGTCCCAGGGGCCTTCTGATTTTTAAAGTTCCATGTGTTAAGGGTCACTGATTGTAAGAATTGGGGAAATTCAGCCCTTCTGGTTTCTTCTTCTTTACGTAGGCTCTCTCATGTCAGTCTGCCTCTCCCCTTTCCACGCCCACAGTCTCCTTCCCTTTCAAGACAGTCCTGTGGTGTTTTTAGTCCATGTCTCTGCCCATCCTATATACTTTTTGTTGTTACCTCCTCTTTACATTTAGCTGGCCTGCTAGTCTTCAGGTCATTTTTTGTTTTGTTTTGTTTTTGTTTTAAATACCGGTGTGGGTATTATCTAGTTATCTGTGGGATGAGGTGAACTTTGGGTCCTCCCACTTCCCCATCTTCCCCACAAGTCTGTTGTAGCTACTCTCTTTTTTTTTTCTTTCCATTTTTTAAGGTAAACTTTTTATTTTAGAATAATAATGGATTCACATGCAGTTGTAAGAAGGAATACAGACATCATGTCTGTATCTATTATCTAGTGTACCCCATGGTAACACCTTGTAAAAATACAGTACAGTGTCACAGCCTGCTACCAACATTGCAGTAGTCCTCCCATCACATTCAGATTTACCCCCTTGTCCATATATTCATTTGTGTGTGTGGGCTAGCTATACATGATTTTCTAACACACATGGGTTCCTGTATCCACTGTCCTAGTCAAGACCCAGAACAGTTCCATCATCACAAGGATCCCTTATAACCATATCCACTCATTCCTAAACTCTGCAACCATTAATCTGTCTCCATTTCTAAAATTTGTCATTTAAAAAATGTTATAGAAATGGAATCATATGGTATATAACCTTTGGGGATTTTTTTTTTCCCCAGTCAGCGTCATTCCCTGGAGACTCATCCAGGTTGTTGCTTGTATCTGTAGTTTGTTCCTTTTTTTTTTTTGGTAAGTGGCATTCCATGAAGTGGATGTACCACAGTTTGTTTAGTCATTTACCCACTGAAAGACATTTGGGTTGTTTACAGTTTTTCACTATTTTGAACAAAGCTGAATGAATGAACATTCTTGTACAGATTTTTTGCCGGGTCATATGGTTATTGCATGGCTAACTTAGAAGGAACTGTAAACTGTTTCCCAGAGTGGTGGTATCATTTTACATTCCCACTAGCAATGCAAATGGGATCCAGTTTCTCTGCACACTCACTATTTTTTTCTTTTTGTAGCTATTCTTAAAAGTTGAGGAAACTCTTTTCTATTGCTAGATTGCTGAGAGTTTTTATCATGTTGAGTTTCGTCAGATGATTTTTCTGCATCAGTTGATATGACCATATGATTTTTCTTCTTTAGCTTCTTCACATGATGCTTTACATTCGTTGATTTTTTTTGAATATCAAATTAACTGTAGCTCTTTGGAATAAATCCCACCTGGTCATGGTATATAATTTTTTCCCTAGGTTACTGGATTCTATTTTCCAATATTTTTGTTGAGGATATTTACTTGTGTATTCAGAAGTGGTAGGGCTCTGTATTTTCTTTTCCTGGGCTGCTGTCTATGTCTGTGCAGTGCAGTTCTGATACTGACTACCCAAGGTGAGGTCACATTTGACAGGTTAAGTTCTCAGTCCTGCACAAAACTGTCCTCACTCAAAACACTAGCCCTAAGCTCTAGAGTTTCTAGGACATCTGTACTTTTAACCAACTGGCTACACATTTGAGGTTCCCACTTCCTCGTCAGATTGCCGGAACAATTCTCAGAACTCAGGAAAGTGCTCTACTTAGGGTTATAGTAGTACTGTTAGGAATACAGATCAGGACCATCAAAGAAACCATAAAGTCTGGGAGACCTCTAATGCAAAGCTTTCATGTCCTCATATCACCTTACTGCCACATCAGTATGTATCACCAGCTTTATTTTCTCTTTTAATAGACATCCTAATAGGTATGACCTGATATATTGTGGGTTTTTTGCATTTCCCTTTTCAAGTACCTGTAGGCCATCTGTGTGTCTTTGGAAAAATGACTGTTGAGGCCTTTTGCCCATTTATTAGTTAGATTGTCTTTTTGCTATTGAGTTGTATGAGTTCCTTATATATTTTGGATGTTAATCCTATATTTGAAACATGGTTTGCAAATAATTTCTCCCATTCTGTACATTGCCTTTTCATTTTGTTGATGGCTTCCTTTGCTGTAGAGAAGCTTTTTAGTTTGACATAGTTCTACTTGTTTATTATTGCTTTTGTTGCCTTTGCTTTTGGTGTCAAATCTGAAAAATAATTGATAAAACCAGCATTGAGAGGCTGATCCCCTGTATTTTCCTTTTTTTTTTTTTTAAGATTTTATTTATTTATTTGACAGACCGAGATCACAAGTAGGCAGAGAGGCAGGCGGAGAGAGGGGGGGAAGCAGATTCCCCACTGAGCAGAGAGCCCAATGCGGAACTTGATCCCAGGACGCTGGGATCATAACCTGAGCTGAAGACAGAGGCTTTAACCCACTGAACCACCCAGGCACCCCCACTCCCTGAATTTTCTTCTAGGAGTTTTTCAGTTTCAGGTCTTATGTTCATCTTTAAGTCATTTTGAAATGATTTTTCTTGTGTGCATGTATAATGTAGGGGTCCAGTTTCATGCTTTTGCATGTGAATATCCAGTTTTCCTGAACCATTTATTGAAGAGACCATCCTTTCCCCATTGTATATTCTCTGATCCTTCATGGATGATTAGTTGACCATATATGCATGGGTTTATTTCTGGACTCATTTCTGTTTCATTGACCTGTGTGTCTGTTTTTATGTCTGTACCATACTGTTTTTGACTGCTTTTGCTTTATAGTTTGAAATCAGGAAGTATGATGATTTTAGCTTCATTCTTTCTTCAAGGTTGCTCTGGGTCTTTGGGATCTTTTGTGGTTCAGTACAACTTCCAGGATTGTTTATTTTTTTTCTATTTCTGTGAAAAAAAATGCCTTTGACATTTTGACCTGAATCACCTTGTATCTGTGGATTGCTTTGGATGGCATGGACATTTTAACAGTATTAATTCTTCCAGTCCATGAACATGAAATATCTTTTTGTTGATTTGTGTTGTTTTCAATTTCTTTCATTAATGTCTTAGAGTTTTCAGTGTACAGATCTTTCACCTCCTTGCTTAAATTTGTTTCTGAGTATCTTGTTTACATAGAAAATTTCTAATAGTTTGTTGTTGGCATATAGAAACTAATTCTTACATATTTTGTATCCTGCAACTTTACTGAATTCCTTTATTAGTTTTTATTTTAAAAGAATTTATTTATTTGACAGATGCAGCAAGGGAGGAACACAAGCAGGGGAAGTGGGAGAGGGAGAAGCAGGCTTCCCGCTGAGCAGGAGCCAGATGCAGGGCTCTATCCCAGGACGCTGGGATCATGACCAAAGCCAAAGGCAGATGCTTAATAACTGAGCCA